ATTTAACTCGCCATTTGCTATGTACCAGGTTCAATTACAATCTGCATGATTCTTAAGTTATTCTCCACGAAATATTCAAGTTGTTAAACACTCTTTACAATGGAGTGTTATTATAATTTACCGTGCAAGGGCGTGGTCGTCATCTACCCTGCCTTAGGCATAAACCGTATTATTAAGCAAGTTTTAATTTATTCTAATTATATACAAACTATAAGCGTTTGAATTAATGAAATATATACATTCAATTTACCAACCGAATGGCGTAAGCTCTTGGCCAAATTACAGATGCTTTCAAGAAGACGTGAAATGTACCTTAAGTATTTACTGTTAGGTAACAATTTGGCCCTATAGATTCTAATTTACCGGGCCCAGAATAATAGTATTTGAGCAACTTCTTTACTTACAGTTACGTAATGTGACTATTGTCTTGTGGTTTAATGGTTAGCCACAAATCACCAAACCTCAAGACTAGACCAATGGCATTTAAACGCTCACATTACAATCATTACTGTCACCATAATAGGCATGATGACACAGTATGAAAATTAAAAGTCTAATTAGTCCGTGAGTTAGGTACCTAATGAAAAAATATAACATATAAAACATACATAGAAGTGACGTCACGCGTTTCAAATCAATATATCATCAAAAGTATTCATGTCTGTAAAAAAAATAAAAATACGTGTGTAATGTTTTAAAATAATCTACCAGGTGGACATTAAAATAAAAATTAGTCATCTTATATATTGGGTAGTTTCCTGTGTCAAACAAAAGTAAATTATTTTGATTTTTCAATCCAATTAAATATTGAAAAATAATTACATTTTCATTTATTGATTTTACCATATAGGTACCTACTTCATTTTCGACTTATTCTACATTTTTTTTTTATATATGTTTGCTATTTGACTCGAAAATATGATGACGTCATAAATTAGGTTTTCGTACAAAATTCATAGAACAATAACATTTTTGACGTTTTGATAGAAGTATTGAATTTGACCAGTTGTCCAATACCGTATTAGCTCCTGACTCATTACTCCTGGATTACTAGCCTCCTAGTAGCAAGAGTTTCCCATAAAATAATTAAAGTTTGAAACTGCCAATCTTATTTATGTAGACGCTGTGATTAATTATTATTTGTTAACTGACTTCAAAAAGAAAAAAAAAGGTTCTCAGATTAACTTGTATGTATGTACGCGATTATCTCACAATTGGCTAAACTGATTTTGATGCGGTTGTCAGAATAGTGTTTGATATACTTAGGAGAATAATTTAGTACCTATATTCACTAACTTACTTCGTAAAAGGTCGAAGGTTAAATAGGTGAAGTTAACCGACTTTGGTTGAAATAAACGTATTTAAACATAGTACAGAAAATGTTGCCCCTTCCAAGCACTTTAACAAGTGACATCGGAAAAACAAAAAAAGAAGTTTGCATGACAGCAAGTTGCGAAGTAATATTCTCTAAAAGAACTGTCAGTTGCGAGATAGGTACTGAAAGTTTCTGGCTAGATGGAGCTATTTTTAAAATTTTAATGGCTTGCTTAAAATAATGCACTTAAAATTATAGGAGAAACTAAAAAGTGTTGACGTCCTTTTAATATTTCGTAAAGTTTTCATAGTCAAATGCATATCACGTAGCTATCACTTAGATGAAACGAAATTAAATTTACTGTGATTTAGCATTGCATTTTGATAGCTCGGTATTTCGCTTGTAAACGAATTGTATTTTAGAATTTCTGTAAATATATTGTAATAGCACAAAAACTACTAACTTATTCTAGGTAAACAAATTGTTCTTAGGTTGGAATAACGTTGTACCTTTGTAATATTATACCTCACGTCTTAGTGTCATAAGCAGGAATATTAATTTTCCTCTCTGAAGTATAAATACCGACTAGGCTTGAGGGCAAAACTGCACTTACTTTTATAAAAGGAAAACAAAGGCGCTCACTTTATGTAATAGGATACGCCTGACAGCTGACATCGGACATACATTCTGATTACGAAGCCACGTAGTAGGTAAGAACAAAAAAATGTACATAATATACCTACCTATTATATTGGACCATGCGAACAAGTAGGCTAGTAATGATTCCATCAAAATTGGGACGAGGGACGCGGTTGACGTTATATTTGGCTAGTTCGTTTGTTTGTTTATTTTCGGGCTCTCTTTTATTTTAACTAAAAACTGGGGATTACTCACGTGAATATACTGAGAAAAGCTCGACAGAGGAGCAAGTAAGGCGAGCGCCAGCGAGCTGCGCGACGTCGCCGCGACCGCGCACGTTGCTCATGAGGAAGAACTCCTCTGTGGTTCGGAACTAGTAGAACTTCTCTCAGTATATTCACGTGAATAACCCGCAGTTTTTAGTTAATTTAGTATCTCTTTGTTTCCTTAAGTTTTTGATATTGGTTCTAGCAGTGGCGAAAGTACGGGGTGGCAAAATGGCAAAATTGTATGGGATCTCAGCTGGGTCCCAGTTCAGAGGTACTTCTTTGTTGTTATTGGGCCCATCGTATAAATTTGCCAATGGCCCTGAACGGTACAGTTATGTCACTGAGTGTGGGTTAATGAAAGGTATATTAATGTAAATACATACATACATGTCGACATACCTATCTTACCTACGCATTAGGCAGAATAATAGAACGCCAAATGATACGTTTCTGCCATAACGTTCCCCTCATATAAATGACTGTGTAATTAGGCGTCAATAGTCATGTTGTTTGAGTTATATTTACTTAGTAGCTCCAGTTTACCTACTTCTACACTATTTCTATCATGTGAATCTTAACAGTACCTATAGTTTCTCTAGTTCGGTAATGTAGTAAACAACAATTAGGCTAGCTACACATATGTAGGTACTGCTAGCCGAATTAATATTCTAGTCTTCTAGATATAAAAGATAATCGTGTTAGTTAGGTACACTATTTATAATTTAACTCGTCGAGTACCGGTTTTGTAGACACAATTATAGAACAATAGGTTGCGGTCACCGGTGACCGCTTGGTGTTTGACAGTTTAAGAATGAGTTAATTAATCGGTTTCGCTGAAAATTGGTTGCCTCGTTGAACCAGGAGATGGACATAGGATATTTTCTATCAAATAACGGTTTTATTTCATTTCATTTTCATTTCAAAGGATTTTCGGAAAATCCTATGGGAACGGGAAAAAGGGATATTTTTTTTAGGGGGGAAAATCCTCGAGTGACTGCTCCCGCCTGGGTGAGGCGGAAGGGAGTGTCAGACTCTTACTGACTAAAAACCACCCCGTACCTTCTCCTGCACGTCGAGCCGGGGCCCGGTTACCCGTTAGGTTCTCTGCGACCGTTAGGTTGTCCGCGACACGAGGGAAAAAAGGGATTGCGCATACGAAGTCGCGGACAGAAGCTAGTATAATACACCTTCGAAGTAAATCCAAAAATCTCTAATGACTTCTAAGTATGACATAAAAGAATAAAAGATAACATAAAAGAAGACGTTCATTGTGATAGGAACTCCTACACTTGTCATCTCCTACAAACCTAACTAACATTTTCTTAAACATTATTTTGTTTAAAAACGATTTTAGATAAAGTCTAGTACCAACGGCTTCATACGAGTTTGAGCTTAGTACGGCGGTCTGATTGGACGGTTCATTGGAGACAGCCAATCAGAGCGGCCAACGCGCTCTCGATTCGAAAACAAATTCGTACGTCCTTTGTCCGTAAAACGATAGTGTAGAAGCACCATTGGGCATCATTCGAAAACAATTCCACAATAACAAAGTAAAAATATTTCACAGTTATTTTATTTCTCCGCCATTTTTTGGTACAAGTAATTTTCCTTTGTATAGAAGAACGGTAAGAAAACACCACGGTTTTCCTCAATGGAAACGATTTGCTATCATTACGGCGTACTCTTACTACCATAGAAATATTATATTATTTTCCTTAAAGCCAAAACGTTATGGAACAAGTTTCATATGAAGACAATTAATTTAATGATACTACTTTCATATGAAATTTTCACCTTTAATTTCACCCTAACTTTTACTTTAAATTTTCGTTTTGGTATTTATTCTAAGAGTAGCCAAACAAGATATATCAGGCATCTGCCTTCATTTTCAAATATTGACGTGTAATATTATTTGTAGCTTGTAGTATACTATATAAAATGGTGTTAAGACATGAATGATAAAAATTGGTCCACTATAGATAATATTATTACTATGTCCTTTTTAGGAGGAAAACATCAAATGACTTCTACCACCTTGAGCGAGATGAAAGGGAGTGTCAGTATCTTACTGACTAGAAACCACACCGTTTTCTATTCTTGATTCAAAAATTCAAATCGGAGACTCAACAACCTGCTGGATTTTCCGTAACTCCGGTAGATAATATGATGCGCTTGGCAATGGATCCCAAATAGAGTTACAGTTTATTTTAGGAAATGAGTGAAAAGTGTTGACTCACAACAGTTGCAACACTTTTGATGTGAAAGGTGTGATCATGTCATCAAGGCCCGAGTGAATAGGTTGCTTCTGAGCAGACGTGCTCCATCATAGACCGCATCGTCGCTCACCATAAAGCTAGATAGTGTTTTGTTACCCTCGATATACAAAAAAGGTTCAATAAATTAACGCCACTCAAAAATACCACAGTCAAAGTAATCTTAAAAGTGAAAATGACGATTATTTTAATCAAAAGACTCGAAAGAAGTTAAATATCAGTTGTAACTACGGGCTATTGTCTCGACTCACGAAAGTTAATTAATAATTTTATATTTGGACAAAGAACTTCAGTGCTTTACAAAATGCAGTTGTAAGTTTTCTATTTCTACAAATACAAAAGGCGGTGAAGAAGCCATTGTTTTAATCAAAGCCGATTGTTCTGATTTCAATTATCGTCTGAGTCGAAAGTTAGCAAAAAATCCACATTCCGCGTAGTTCCTTTGTATTAAGATAAATAATAATAAGAAAAATGTATAAAAATTCTGTTTTTTTCTTGTTGCAGGATCCAACAAGTATTCGTCAGTGCTTCTTTCTGCAGATGAGATCATATTCGTAAACCAGGTACGTATCAAAAAATCTTATCACAAACACACTATGTTTTACTGGATTCATTTATTATATTAAACTACATGTCGACACAGCACCTAATCTAAAAACGAAATTTAATAAAACCTTTTCGAAAAGAACGTCGACTATGCACTTGTGTTTCCTCAGCTGTTGTGAAGACCATGGGGGGCGCTGATTGCTTACTATTAGGTACATAGGTCTACTCGTTTGCTTTCTATAAAAAAATAGTTATTTACGACCGAGTGATTACGAAATTGAATGTAGTCTTACAAGCAGAACATACACAAATTGACACGAAGGACATCTGTCATTTTCTTAAGTCTAGTAACGTGGTAACCACACACGCACACATAAATAACCCACTAAAATTTTGGTGCTTCAATCGCTTCTAAGTAACGGTATATCCGCACTAGGCACAAGTTAGTGTCTATGTCCGTATCAGACATTGACTTTTCTATTCTCCTACCGTTGAAATACCATTTCCACCAATCAGTGAACTTTATCACGAGAAAATCTGTATACATACATATATGTGCGTTTGTCATGTATCGCCGTCATGTTCTCCATAGTCCATGCCATATTTGAACTGACACAATTACGGTAGTGTTTATATTGGCTGAAATCACTGAATTTCAGGCGTGAGGCACATACCAATTAGGACTGGAATTAATTGGGTGTCTGGTAACACTGTATCGTGTACCTTTCATCGACGAATGGACAAGCAAAGGCCTATGAATACTTTGAGCGACAACAGCGCCAATCAATGTGCCATTTGGTAATTCTCGGACTGTAGGGTTTTTTGGTGGAAAAATAAGAAATAAGCGAAATAGCTATAATTATTTCCCTGTACTCGTTCCTACAATTTTCGCAATTTCGTTTACGTTGAGTTACGGTAGGTATTATTTATTTATTTAGACCTAATGCAAAAGTATGTACCGATGAACTTTTAGGGGATTCAGAGATGGCAGTGGCAGGTGACAGAAAGTAAATATTATACTATACATATTATATCAAACCTCATCTTATAATTACTATATCCAAAGTTCTAAGTACTAAATCAGTCAGTCTAGCTAACCAATCAGTCTAGTTATAAGATGTCCTACTATGTCATTGAATAGAACTTGAATTAATCAATAGATTTCGGATTATTCTGTTTTTAATGTTTTTATTGTAAAGAAAAGCTCTTCTCAAATATTTCTGAATAAATTTCCAAGCAAGATGTGACATTTCCTCAAGCAAATTCTATGAAGTTTTCTTTAGACATTGTATCCAAGTGGAAAGTTTTGGATTCAAATTAATTAGGTATGTAGTATTTTTTTTATGGAATAAGCCGGTACACAAGCAAGTGGTTCACCTGATGGTTAGCAATCGGCGTCGCCCATTGACACCTGAAACACCAGAGGCGTTTCATGTACGTTACCAGCCTTTTAGGTATTAGGAGTTTGAGGATTGTTGGATATTCAGGGATTGGGGAGATTGAGGCCTCCGGTAACCTCTCACACACGACGACACACAACGCAAGCGCTTCTTCACGTTGTTTTTCTGTGAGGGCGCAGTATCACTCCAGTCCAGCCGGCCCATGTTTGGAACAGGGGTAGATTATTGTCTGGAAAAACACATACCTAGGCTTTTTATCCCACGGTAACGCGGGTGAAGCCATTGGCAGAAGCTGGTGTGTAATAATTTATGAAACACTGGTTAGAGTAAGGTTAAAACCAAATTAGTTAGCAGGTTGTTTCAAGTTCAACAAATTACTTACTGTAGTCAATTGGAACTTTCTCCTTGAAATCTGCAAGAACCAGTCATTCCCGTAGGTATACAAGACCACTTGTCTTGTAAGTTCACGTAAACTACAAAGGTTATCTTAATCTTAAAGTCAGTGTTAACTTAAACTTTGAAGTTTGCGTTTGCGTTCAAACGGCGTTTATGATACTGTGGTTACTCCGTTTAATTACCAGTTGTGGTTACGTTATGTTGAGCCTTACGAGATTTGTAGGAACTTATTGTCACAAGTCACTTTACTTTCTAAAGAGAAAATACATCATTTAATTTTATTAAAAAAACAATCAAATCGCTATTAATAAGATAAGGTACTAAGATACTTGATAGTTTTGTTGTTATATCTGGTTAGATCTACTTTAAATCAAGCCGCTGAATTATAGATTTCTTAACTCCCGTCCCCTCCAAAATGAATTGTATTAGTAGCGAAGTTGCACCACTCAATGACATATTTCAGACTCAATAACAGTATAATATTTGTATAAAGTCTTGAAAATACTTAAAGTAGTGTACAAATAAATACATATATTACGGAATACCTACGGCAATGTGTCGGGAGCCGTTTCGCAGCACGTTACGCCAAGTTTATGAGCCATTAGAACACGATATAGACCAGTCGCTATCGAATTAATTGTAGTTTGCCCCGAAATTGTACCTATTCACATTTACTATGGAACCATCACAATATATTACGGTCACATCCAAGAGTTATGATGTTAAAAGCTTTTACAAACGTGTTTTAAAAATAAATGATTGTATTTATACCAGTACTAGCTTTTGTCATGAGGTCCACTCGTGCTCCTGTGGAATAAAAAGTAGCTGTAATCTACACCAGTTCCATCCCGATCCCTACAGCCGTTTTAACGTGAAGGAGAGACTTGAAGACAAGTCCCGAGTGACCCAAGTCATATTTGACGGGAAACACAGACTCTGGCAAGGAATTTCATTCCTTAGCGGTTCGCATGAGCAACCTTGACGCGAAACGCTTCGTACGAATAGGTGGAATGTCCACCATATAAGGGTGGCGCCCCGCCGTTCGTCTGGTAGTACGGTGGTGAAATGGACTAGGGGGAATAAGTTTGTGCCATCCACGCACATTCAGCGAAATGTATCCGATAGAAGACCGAAAGGCTTGCGACTTTGCGCCTGTGTTCACGTATAATATTTTCGTAAAATAAACGTACAAACTTTAGTATTTGTGATATAAATGTCAGGTGTTTTTGATACAATCACCTCGTTGAGCGGATGATCATGGCTAGACCAGTGCAACTGCCGAGAAAGAGGTTGACCTCCGGTTAGCATGTTTTTTTTTATATCTTAACTCGTCGAGTACCGGTTTTGTAGACACAATTATAGAACAATAGGTTGCGGTCACCGGTGACCGCTTGGTGTTTGACAGTTTAATAGCACTACTGAGTCTGGAATATGCTCAGAGTATGGCAATTATCCATTAGGTACATGACAATCATAGCGTAACTAAAAATGCGTGTTACATTGCGAAAATCTCCGGTTTGAATATTCATATTCATATCTTTATTTGCATTCCATAATGTTTCTTAAGATGTTACATTGGCTTAAAGCTAGGACACAGTTATGGACCCTGTCGGGCACAGCAAAATACAAAATTTAAATTTCAGAATTAAATTCAATTAATAACATATTACCATTTCAATAATTATTAAAATAAATACCTAGGTATAAGTAATAAAATTAAGTCAAATTGATGATGCATCAAGTCAGCAATTTTTAATAATGAATATGAAAAAGCAACCATCTTAATATGCAACCATTGCTAACTATAGGTGATAACTAACCATATATTATATTACAAATACTATTGCCAAATAAACACAGAATAATACTCAAGATGGTTTATTCCACAGAATATCAGTTCATCACAAACGTGGTAGATATTTGTGCAGAACGAGATAGATTATCCTTTTAAGGTAAAAGGCCTTACCTTATCCGCAACAATCTAAAAGTAAATTGGATAGGCTCGGTTGTGCACGGCAGCACATGAAACTACAAACATCCAGTATAAACTGACTGTTGAACGTGCGAACAGATTATAGAAAGCAAGACCACGATACACTGGTTATGTTCATGTAACTACCTAATGTTGAGTCATTACGATAGAGAACTCTTAAATAATTGGTTATATGTAACCAACAGGAAAAAGAACATTCAGGGGCGTTCGTACATGTAATGGGTGTTTAATCCAGCATAAATGATATCTTTGTCCATCAATAATGTATCACCTAAGTTGTTTAGGGTGCATTAAAAAAATAAAGGTTGTTTCGGTATAGATACTATATCGTAGGTACTTATACGTAACAATGATTTGGTTTTCTAGTGACTGTTACACAGACAATGCAAAAGCAAAATGTATTAAAGTTTGGCTTTTCCTTGGAGAGCAAACGGGAAGAGGCTTTCCAAAATTCATAAGGAACTTTGGAAACTGGGATTTGTACCCTACTGTTTATACAACTCCACCGTAGAAAATTTCAAAACTCAAATACATTATATATTTATTAAAAATACACGATAGACTATGGACAAAGAGATATATTCACATAAACAAACCTTGATATAAAATTAATACAATTCCCGCGAGAGAAACCTGGGTTAAATAGAATATTCAATGTGGTTATACTTTTTGATATATGACGCCTCAATTTTTAGGGTTACCAGGAAAATAATGCAATATATCAGGTACAGATTTTATACAGACGGGTTTACAACGTTCGTTCGAAAGAATGGATCAGGAGCTCGTGTGGAAGCCGATTCAAGCCAGGATCTATGTATATTTATGACTCACCGAGAACCACCCGGTCATAGTGGACGAGAGGCTAAGATTTGGGTATTTGTCCGACTAGGACGTTTCGGCGTTCGTACCAGTCGGACTTGTTGACACATATTTGCTCACTTATAGAAATAAATACAGTAAACATCTACAAAATATAATTGAAAAAGTGCACAGTGAAAGGACACATCCATATTATATTGAGTGAGTGCGGAGTCAGTGGTTGTTTTTACTGTTTTACGTGTAAAATATACAAAATACAAAATCTTCTTCAATAGAGATTTAATTTGTTTACCCTCTTAATCAAGTTAAACAGCTGATCGAAGTGACGGAACACGTCGCAACTGGTGACATCTAATATTGTAAGAACGCAATATTGACCGCACTTGAACGCTAGCGCCATCTGTCTTAA